GAGGAGGAAGAGGTTGGAGAGTACATGGGATTGCCGTGCTGCTGGGCGCCAATTGAATTTGCCATACCGGGCAGCAGCTGGGAGTCTTTGTACTGATGGAGTGCATCGGTTTTGTTAGTGGAGGGGCTGGAGGGCATGGCGGGCCTGGGAGACCCCATAGCTGATCGAGGGGAACGAGGAGGAACCTTTATGGTGCCACACGGGGCCTGATGTCCCGAGGGCATCGCAAAGTTACCGTGGTCAGAGGAGGTGGAGGATGAACGCGAGCGATGAGGGGAGGCCTCTATTCTCCCAAGCGCAGGCCCAGCCATGTGGACAGGTGAGGTAACGGGGGAGGGAGACATGGAGGAAGCCGGACCACCCTGCTGAGTCCTTTGAACATGGCCACCATGACCCACAGGCCCAGGCTTCACTGTGGGTAACGGTAAGTTGCTTGGCAAGGGAACAATGGCGGGAGGGGGTATGTTTACATTCATCACTGGTACCTGAGAGTGGATGTTAGGCTGGAAGTTGGAGGGTGTTGGGGCATTGGTGGGAGTCTGGCTGACTGGCTTGTTAGGGATGGGGTCCAGGATGCCTAAGGGGTCCTTTTCAGACGTTAACTGCCTTTTCTGGAGGGCACAGGATGGCGGTATGGATGGAGGAGGCGGTACAGGGTGCACAGGGGGCTGTGTTTTATGGTGAAATGTTGCACGGGGCATATCCATACCAGGGGGGAAGTTCCCCCGCGGCATGTTCATGTTAATGACAGGGCTTTTGGCAGTGGCCGTTGGGGAGAGGGGCGTGCTAGTCCTTCCTGTCATGGCACACGATGGCTGGCCCGCTGAGGAGCCGTGAAGCATCACACTAGGCGGGGAAAGAGGTGTCCTAGTGTTTCCGTGGATAGAGGCTGAGCCAGGGCTACCGCCTCCTGGAAACCCACAAGGATTGGTCCTTGTAAAGCCCTCAGGGCTGCCCAGAGTTTCTGTACTGGGAGACTGCGAGCCATCTCCATAAAGCTTAGCACCAGATGGAGGTGGGCTCAACATGCCTCCATACCCGGACCGGTAAGGGGATTTAGGGCCTGGCTCCCCGCTGCCCAGCCTCTGCAGCCTGGGGTACCCAGGGTAATGCTCTGGCTGCTGGGCTCCACCCAACTCCTGGGGTGGATACAGCCTCTGCTGCTGCTGTCCGCCTGCCATCATCACCTTGAAAGGGTTCTTACAGTCAGGGCCAACAGAGTTGGGCACGCCATCGTGGGGTTTAGTCCTTATTGCTCGTTGAGTTGTGGAATGCACAGCAACCACAGACGATGTACCTTAAAGAGAAAAAAAAAGAAAGAAAAGGAAAGTCTGAGTTAAACCAGGACCAACAGCTTGGAGAAAACATTAGTCAGAAGAAGAAAGTAACTATTATTCACCTCCATGTGTAGTTTAACTCAAAATGTAGGACTTTAATAGGCTGGCAAGTTATTTACCAAGAGAGCCTTCTTCCTTCTTGGAAATATCGCTAGAATAAGACAATTATATACAACATATACAAGATGGCGCTGGAGTGACAGCAGCCTTTCCAAGTAGCTCTGCAACACCGCACCTTTTTCTTAACTTTAACTTTTTTTAGACTAGGCTTTCAAACTTTATTTCACCTTCCTCTAGTTACTCTACTTATACCTCTTAGATATAGTGATACAAGATGGATAATGCTCCTCCCTTAGTTATGCTGCAATCCGGTTGTTCAGTCTGACGTCACTAGCCGTGTCTGGG